TAGTCTAAAGAAAAAGAAAGTGTGATAGTTCAGCTCAAGCAATAATATGAAAGAGCTCCTTTATATTCAATCTCTGGGCATAATTTAGGACTTCAGTTAATTAGATGAGGCTCACATTGGCAAGATCCTATCATTACTTTCATCAAAAAGTCACCCTCAGAAGTGCACTCAGAGGGATGCTATTCAAACACCAGCCCAGTGAGGCTGACAAGTAGTACTGACCATCCAGTATCTTCCTACATACATAAATATCAGATTTTAATTTTAATTTTTAGAAAGCAAACTGTCACAATATTTTTCTGGTGTTAGAAAGGCATTAAAAACATGATCAACTTTTTAATTTATGGAGCGAGTACAGGGATGTAGTCCTAAGGAAAAAATGTAAAAATAAACCTTTAAATCTTTATTTAAAGACAATTTATTTGTACAGTGAAGTTATTGATGAACGAGGGGCTATCTTGAAGGAACAAAACAAACAAAGAGCAACTAAAAATGCTATGACCTTTCAAAAATAGAGCTGTAATAATCTAGCTAAGATCAAAGTCACTTATGGAACAATGTTGCCTCGGGCCTAGAAAGTCTTTCAATTCAAACCCAATAATTATCTATCAAGAAGATAGATTTTGTATTTCTTTCTACCGTTAAATCATATTTTATTCTTAAAATTGTACCTATGGCTGGCAAGTGACACATGTCTTTAATCCCAGCACCAGGAGACAGAGGCAGGTAGATCTCTGTGAATTTAGCATCGGTCAGGGCTAAACAGAAAAACCCTGTATTCAAAAAATAGTCTACTTATTTTTAATCAAATTTCAAGTATAATATTTAGCATTATTGACAATGGTCATACTGTTGCATACTGGATCTCCATTCTGCTCTCTGACTCCACAAACATGGCATTTTAGATGCCAAATTTAAATGAAAGTATATCTATTTTGCAAACTTATTTTTAAAGGCTGGATGATAAGGGGTGTGTGTGTGTGTGTGTGTGTGTGTGTGTGTGTGTGTGTGTATTTATTTTTATCCATTCACTCACAACAATTACTTATGTCTGTGTTGTAGCTGATGTGAATTAGTGCTGAAATGAAGATGAGAGTCCAGGTATCTTTTTGAGATTCTGATTTAGTTTTTAAGACATATCCTCTCAGAAGTGGGATTGGTAAATCATATGGTAGTTCTAGTTTAGATTGTTTTCAGACATGTTCACTGAATCCTCCAAGAATTCACAGTGAGAGAATGGTTTCTTCAATAAATGGTGTTAGAGAATCACCTAATCCTCTACAGGAAAATAAAATTAGAACCTTAACTCAAGCCATGCACAAAAAATCAATTCAAAATGGACTAAAGACTTTGATGTTCGACCTCAAACCATAAGCCCACTAAAGAAAAGCCTGGGGAACATTTTTTGACACTAGTTTGGGCAATGATTATTTGACTATAACATAAAAAGCACAAGCCACAAAAGTGAAAACAGAGGCAAGTGGAATTGCATTGAGCTAAAAAACTTCACATGCAGAAAAAAAAAAAAAGTGGAGATACTCCACAGACTGGGAGGAAGTGCTTACAAGCCATGCATCTCAAAAGGAATCAGCATCCGAATTTCATTAGGAACTTAAGCAACACAAAGGTTAAATGGCCAAAGGATTTCAAAAGATGCTTCTCTTAAAAGACTTCACAAAGCCAACAGTTTTTTTGAGCCATCTTGTCAACATCACTTGCCATTAGATCAATGCACATGAAAACTACAATGAGATATCAACAAATCTGTTTCCAAAGAGACAAGACATAGCAAGTACTAGCTAGGGTTGGAGACACAAAAAGCATGATCCATTATTGGTAGAAATGGAAATTTGACAAACTTTCTGCTGCTTTCTTCTTTAGCTTCTTCATTCACTCTTCAAAGCACATGTTTCAAGCATTTCCATTATCTATCTGCAAACTCCCTCAGTTCCTTCATAAGTTAGTAAATTGCTTTCACTCCATATCTAGAGAAAAATATATACTACCAATGGAAACAACTTGAGGTTGTTTGAAACCCTGCCTATTCTTTTTTTCTTTTTTTTCCTGTCACAGGGAAAAGTGTCAGAATCCCAATTCTAATGCCTCCCTCAGTGTTGTGATACCATCCACGAGCGCCTCCTTTGCCTCGCTCTACTGCTTATCCATACTCCGTTTTCTCCTGTCAGCTTTATTTTCTTTTGTTATACTCTTCATCCAAGGGAAATTCAAATGTGCAGACAGTTCAACCATCTCAAAATTAAAATGACCCATCTCCCCTTCTCACATGTTTTGTATCTCATTTACTTAGATTTCTTAAGTGATCAAGTGTGCACTCCACAGAAGCAGATAGCCCTTCCTTTTTTCTATGCCTACTTTCTCATTTACCCGCTCTTATGCCCACGCTTACCAGGTTACCACCTTCAGTTTATTAATGCAGCTTTAGCTGGAATGGATAACTTCCCCCTGTCTGCTAAATCCTATAGACTCTGCACTTCTGATCCCAGTTAGTATCTCTACAGAGGGAGCTCCTCTTCCATGGAGCTCTACTCTCCTATGGAAAGGCAGTGTCACCATTTTTGGTAGCTTCAGCTAGTTGTTGCTAAGAGAATGAACCTCTTCTGTTTATTGATTAAAAGACACTATCTTCACCTTTTCTCTTTCAGAGTATAAATTTCCCCCTAAGCAATGCCATTTATTTCCATGGTCTCAATTACCACCACTAGGTTAGTATCTTCTAGGATTTCAGGAAAATGGGCACAGTTGTGAGATAATTTACCCAACAGATAGGTCGCTTGTCATTTGTAGGAAAATAACCAAGTTTCTCCCACAAATATGTTTCTCTTCTGTGTGTGTGTGTGTGTGTGTGTGTGTGTGTGTGTGTGTGTGTGTTTATCCCTGGGAACAAAGCTGCAAATTCTGACTAGTAAATCTCTTCAGTGTTCCCATCTGAGCCAGAAGTAGCAGAAGTCTTCTAATGTTCCTGTTTCCTAAGGCAGAAAAAAAGTACAGAATTCCTTCTAACTGATCAGGCTAAAACCTTGACACTTCCATCAGCCTGTGTTGCTCCTGCCCACCCAAATGCCATTATCTTCTTGTGTGGTCACTCCAACAGCCTCCTGATAGCCGCACTGTCTGCCTTCACATCCCTTCCACACTCGGCCTGGTGACCTTTCAAAAGAGTGAATCCAATTGCTTCAGCCTCTTGTTCAAAATCTCTCACAGCTGATCACTGGTCAATAATATTGTCTAAAGCCACTAAAGGTGTAAAAAAAACTGAAAAAATTTACACAGATGGAGGATTTTCCGATTGCAATCCTGTAGGTTGTTTCTAAGAAATATTTAAGAATATAAAACTTGAAATTATTTTATTTGTCCCCAAATAAGGATAATAATATTAAACATTTGCATAGAACTTTTACTAATAAAGTATGATATTGCTATTATTTTCACTCATGACTTTCAAATTTCAAGTCTTAAAAAAAGAATCGTTTCCCCATTTTATTAATAATAAAATAGAGAGTGAATATAAGGGTGAATGAGGAACCAAGACCAATTATCCACTAAGTTATATGATTAGTACTCAAACTCAGTCAAAACTAAACCATTCCATAAACAGAAATTAAGAGATTGAAGTTGAAATCAGAACAGTCTTGCAATAAATTTTATGTGAAAAAAAATCATGACAGAAGATAGATGGATAGATGATAGACAGACAGACAGACAGACAGACAGACAGACAGATAGATAGATAATTTTCATACAGGTGTCTCAGTGCAAAATTAAATAGCTTTAAAAATAGATATTTTATATATAGAAAAATGTTATTCTCAAAAAGAACAGTACTATTTATATTGTCAAAAACTAGATATAATACTAAATTTGTTGTGTGTAAGTAAAGCCAGATAATATAGGTCTTAACTAGTTACAATTATATCTTCTTTCTTTTAACACTAGAGTTGACTTTCAAAAAAATAAATATTCCCACTATAAAGTGATGCAATTGCCACTAAATAAAAAGTGAAACATTTGTTGGACTGAAGTGAAGCGTAACTGAATAGATAAAGAGGGAGAGTTGGCATTGTCATCCGAAGAGTCGGGCACTCAACCACAACTCCACATAGGGAACTCAGCCAAGAACAAAATGAATGCTTCCCTGCAGCATGAACTGACAGGGGGAGTCCTGGGAGCCAATGTGAATAAAAGACAGAGAACAGAGCCAATTCAGGTCAACCAGGTCTAATGAAAGCCTAGATAAACTGGGCGAAAGATGCCGACCAAGTGGAAATGCCTGTCTATATAACAGCTAATGAAAGAGTCCACAAAAATTGAGGAGACACAAAAGCTGCTCTCAGAGCCCAACCCTCCCAGTGATTGCAACACAAATGCTGTCCATGAAAGATCCTTCTCCAACTGTAGAAAATCCAAATGAAACTTTTATAACGTCACAATATTTAGAGACAAAAGCAATTCTGAAAGTCAATTTGCTTTAAGAGGAAATCACTTTATACTCAACTGGTTCCTGACTTTAATGAAAATTTTAAGGAGGAATAGCCATGATGAGAATTACTGTTTTTCCAATAATTAAATAAAACATTCAAATACAAACAAAAATAGTAGTAAAAGTCAAAAGCAACCAGGAGAAAGAACAGCATCAGGACTGTGTGACCATTCAGAACCCCACTTCCACCACAGAAAGGTACAATCAACATTGCCCAATTTTGAGAACAAGTGATGCCTAACTAGAAGTAACAAATAAAACCACAGATTAAAAATGGATATTTTGTGAGGCCTTAATTTCATAACTTTGACATGCAGCTTTTTTCTTATTTTGTAAAAGATTGGCAAGAAAAGACCAGAAAACATATAAAGTATTAGCCACAGCAACCCATTATTTCTTTTACAGCATACATACATATATATATATATATATATATATATATATATATAGAAAATAATAAAGAAAAATAAACTGATTAGGCAAGAATTCAAAATCATAACATATATCAACCAGCCAGGGAGATGACAACATCAGGGAGGTAGATTTCCCAGGGCAAGGCTTATCAACTGTTGTCTGTGTTGGCCCCCTGAAATTTCCCCAAATGTGAGAGACACCACTCTGTAATTTGTGACAGTGAGGAGTTGAGTTCACTCTCCTATGGGGGAAAAAGTCATAACAAACATCAGGAGACTTTGCCAGAGACTAGCCAAAGACAATTAGGGTCTGTCTGGGTGGTTCCAAGTAGACAAATTGCCATACACCACTAAATCTAGCTAACTCAAGTTCATATACATTACTTAGACTGATCTCAGAGATAAACTGTTTAATTCAGGCTTCAAATCCTCTAGGCAGTCTAACTTCACATGTGGACATATGATAAAAATAATATTGTTTTCATTTCCAATCATTTACTTTGTTGTAAAAGATTTTCCAGATCACACTAGCCTAAGCTTTTAGGTTTGTTACCAGACATGATGAGAAACATGGGCCAAAAGCTGCTTTGGGTAAAGGTGTGAGGAAGGAGTGAGCCACTGTGGGACAGTACAGAGGGAGGAACTGTAAACTTTGTCCAATCTATTACACAACAAATTGTTAAATTTCAAAGCCCCTACCTTTGACCTAACAACTCAATCTCTGGAGATTTATTTAATGCATAGCCTCGGTAAACGTTTATGTGGAAATTTGAGGCAGCATTATTTATAGTCACGGAAAATAAAAGCAAATCACATATCAATAAAGATGGCAATAAATTTTGATCCATTCATCCAGTGGAATTATAGACAATCGCTGATGTTGTATTCATTACTAAGAAAACCTTCCAAGCAAACTGAATTTAAAATCAATGTTTTATCCTGTGATAGTTCCTTTCATGTGTAATTTTTAGATCATATCTTCCTGTTGATACATAAGGATATCTTCATATGCATAAGTTCATGCCTACAATGTTTTATATAGCAAGAAAAAATTGTCAAGTGCTAAACTCCAGGTGTAGATAAGGATATGAACGGAAATGGACTTCTTTAATTTTTTCATTGCACATCTACCCTACCACATGCCCATTCTAACTATGAACATTACATAACAGTTTCCAATGTCTCCATGAGACTTATTTATCACCACAGGTGAGATCTGAGGCCAATTCAATTTGTTTTGTTTAATTTCTTGATAGGAAGCTGCTTTTTATGATTTTTAAAATTTAAATTAAAAACAATCTTGTTTTACATGTCAATGCCAGTTCCCCCTCCCTCCCCTCCTCCCCTGCCCCCAAATGGACCCCTATCCCAACCACTTCTGCTCCGCAGGTAGGGTGAGGCCTTCCATGGGGGATCTTAAAAGTCTGTCATATCAATTGGATCAGGGCCGAGTCAAAGAAGTAGAAACTGTTAAGTATGGGAGGGTCAGCTTAGCCATGGTTGGGTATCCTTTGCCTGCCTGCCCCAAGCATAAACAACTGCTTATAATTGGCCCATATTATATTCACAGCAAGAGCCCATGCAGTCTCACACTCTTCTTCCCTCCAGAGTAAGCAGCTTCAACGAGGCACTAGTGTTTAATTAAGTACAATTTTTAAAAGCTGGATCAGGCCTCACTACACATATAAATGCAATATACTTAGCACTGTAAAGTTGGCTAATAATACACATCCATAAGGTAGAAAGACCTCTTAGGCAGACTATTAAGTTTGCCAGTATCCAATTTGTGAAAAACCTCCTGTATACTCTCACTGGTGAGCAATAATGCATTTCACTTTCATCCTGAAACAAAAATCTCTCAGGTTCCTTTATATTCTTTTATATAAGTACCATAAAACATTAATAGAAGGGTTCTCCTAGGCCTCTATTCAAAATATGGCTTGATTTGTAGATTTCATTAACAAACATGAAGGCTATTTTCTTTGGCTGGTATTACAAAGTGGGACAAAGCTGCCAATGCTTGCTTTGTGAAAACTTGCATAATGATGTATAAAAGCTACTTTGGGGACCTTGTCAAAATTAGAAATAATCTTGTCTCAGGGATAGCTGACTTTGATTATTTTTAATGTACAATTGATGGATGTTTCTACACAACAGGAAATAGAAACTAAGCAAAGAAATCCTCTGCTCTGCTCTCATTTCTTCCCCTGGGACAATGCTTTGAAAATGCCAACTGTAATAACATCTCATATTGCATTTCAGCCCTCTGCTGATAGGAATTTCTGAGCTTCCTAGGACCTTCCCGTCTGAACCCCTGTGCTGAAATGGCCTCTTAGCCTGGACCATGGAGACCTGAGGAGGCATTCCTACTCAGGAGGAGGATACATGTGATCACTTTAGTGAATGCCCCATAGCAGAACTAGGAGCAATGGTAACAACTGCCAAATCTCATCTGCTCACTAAGACAGCTACAAGGGACAAGCCTTCCTCTACTAACAGAAATATTAAACAACAAAAATGCCTGCCTTCCCAAAAACCACATCTCACAAAAATGTGTAAGCACTATGTCTATGCTGTTGGATGTGATCACTGTTGTGTTTGGGGAAAAGTGAACACGAATAACTGGTTGAGCCTTAGTTATGAACTACTGAAACATTTTTCAACAACACTGTTCTGTTTACTGAGTTTGAGCAGGTTTGGGGGTCAATGAAATGCAATTTGAGTAAGAGTTTCTCCGAGTAACTCTAGATGGAGCCACTGTGGAATATGTCACCATTGTCTCTGAACAGAAATTCAGATTCTCACATGACACATTGACCTTCTAATCACTCAACCACAAGAAAGCACAAACTGTTTGAGGAGCAGCTCACAAATTACATGATAAATGGCCAGCAGTTCTTTATTCTGAAGCCCTGAGAAATGGTAGTGATCAAGAAAGAATGGTACACACAAAATCTTGTACTTTCATAATATATCATGGCTGATTAATAGACATATCATTTATCAGTCCTTTATCCAAAAAATATTTAAACACCATAAGTTGTCTACAGACAATGTATTTTGTCAATGTCTTGAAAGCTCCGTCAGCTCTTATATAACGTGAATTTTGTATGTTTTGTGTTACATATTCATAAACATTATTTCTCATGAGATCACATACATTCACAGAGTATAACATTTAATGTGGAAAAAAAGATTCTCAGAAAGATTAATTTTTTCACATCTTCTTTCATTTATTGAAAAAAAATTTAGAAAATGGCAGTTAATAAAGGGCACAAACAAATCAACAGGAACATACTAGTGGAAAACAGAGAATATAAAACTGAAAGTGCCACTGGCTTCTTTAATTGGTTAAGAGCACAAAATGTAATAGGCAGGTCTATTTTAACAAATTAAAAATCTATTTTGTGTTCTTTTAAAAATAATTCTTCCCAAGTCAAATCTATATACACACTCACAAAAATGGCATGTAAAGGAAAGGTGTCATACATAAGTTGTATCCTGGATTGAAGGAAATAGCTGCTGAAGCAGGGATTAACACAAAGTCAGCAACAAGCTAACAATACCCATGCCCCAAGACAAGGCCTGGCTCTACAGTTCAGGATGGCCTCAAACTCAGCCCCCCTTCCTTAGCCTTCCATGAGTTGGCATTGTAAGTGAACACCGTGCCCAGAAAGTTAGCAGTTCCTAAGAACTAAGCGTTCAAACACTGCATGGCACAAAACTATACTAAATAAAGTACTATTAAGTACAAAGGAAAAAGTATGCTTGGCTTTTACAAAAATGCTTCTTAAGGAAAACAACATCAACAAAAACCCTACTCAGCAGACCACGGCTATAGCTAGCCATCAAAGATACAACTTTGCATATCTTGATAGGAAATTAGAAAATACTAAACGGGCTTTTTTTTTTTTTTTAAGCATTTCATACTTGACCAAGTTGAAGCTTTCTGTTTCTTCTCTACCCACCAGTAATTCGTCCGATCCAGCAGAAAGAGAGATTTTGGAATATGCTATTTTATTTTTCTTTCTGTGGCGAGACTGTTATGGAGCCTGGAGATTTCAGGTTCATAGGCATCCATGACCAGTGTCTTGCTGTGATCAAAGATCTTAGCAATGGCCTTGGTGAACTCGGCTTCCTGCTGCTGCTTTGTCCTTCCACTGATGAAGGTCAACTTCAGGCTGTATTTATCATCAAACCTTTAGAGACTGGAGGACAGTTGCCACATCAGGACCCATTCCTGAAAGATCTTTTCTGTAAGCTGCAATAAAGATGCTCTTCTCCTTATATGAGGTGTAAATGGTCAGAATCCCCATCATCACAAAATAGGATATGACACACAAAGCCAAAACTGGCTTGGATTCTGGAAAGGGGTGCATGTAATCCCAGATCAAAGCCGCTATAGCAAAGAAGCAAGAGATGGTACAGACGGTGAGGCGACCGTCAATTAGACCAAAGTTTTCCACATACTTGTCTTTTTCCAGAAGTACCTTTTTGGCGGAATCATTGAAAGAGTTTTTCACAGCTGATCCATGCCACTTATGAATTTTTACAGGCTTTTATCATCAGTCTTCCACTTATCCAACAAACCACTGCGGCTGCTGCTTGTTCCGCAGCTGGGCCCCACTACTGCCTCCACCACCGGCGCTTCTCCCGCCTTGCAATGCCACTGCCATCTTATCTCAAGATTAATTTGTTACAATTGTCTGTAAGTTCAAACATAGAATCACACCATAGATTGTGCCACCAATTTCTGTGGCTTTGTTGAGTATCTTATTTACATTCAACTTACAGAGGTATTAGAAATACCATGGTTCACGTGAGCTACTATATTATGTATACATATATACATAATTGAGCTATAAATACAATATATACTATATATACACCAGTCAGTTAGCTAAAACCGTTTTTAAAGATCAGTGTGACAATTCCAGTGCCAGGCATGACAGCATCCACTTGTAATTCTACCTATGGCAGGATGGAATGAGTTCAAGGCCAGCCAGGAATATATATGAGATCTCTATAAAAACAAAGGTCAATTCCAGATACTAACAGTTGCCAAGAAGGTTTATTACAATAGTGTAGCAAGACACTTGCCAAGTGGCTGCTTTAAGAAGGAAAGTCAGAGAAGGCTTGTCTGAAAAAAAAAACAAAAACAAAAACAAAAACAAAAAAAAAAACTGTCGTTTGCAGTGACACCTGATTGAAGGAAAGGAAGTTTATATCTGGGTCGGAGGTGAGTT